GGTCTTTGTAAATATTCATCAGGACTATTCTTCACTAATGAAGTTCACCTCGCCTTATGTTTTTTCTTTACTCAACACATAAATGTTCTCTGTAAGAAATCCTCTGAGGAGCTGCCCAGTACAACCAGTTCTCTACTGATGACTGGTTGGAGAAGAAGAAGGTCCACAGGCCCAAAGTGTCAGAACCCCTTACTGTTAGCATCTTACTGTTAGCATCTTACTGTTAGCACCTTACTGTTAGCACCTTACTGTTAGCATCTTACTGTTAGCATCTTACTGTTAGCATCTTACTGTTAGCACCTTACTGTGAGCATCTTACTGTTAGCATCTTACTGTTAGCATCTTACTGTTAGCATCTTACTGTTAGCACCTTACTGTTAGCATCTTACTGTTAGCATCTTACTGTTAGCATCTTACTGTTAGCACCTTACTGTTAGCACCTTACTGTTAGCATCTTACTGTTAGCATCTTACTGTTAGCATCTTACTGTTAGCACCTTACTGTTAGCACCTTACTGTTAGCATCTTACTGTTAGCATCTTACTGTTAGCACCTTACTGTTAGTATCTTACTGTTAGCATCTTACTGTTAGCATCTTACTGTTAGCATCTTACTGTTAGCACCTTACTGTTAGCATCTTACTGTTAGCATCTTACTGTTAGCATCTTACTGTTAGCATCTTACTGTTAGCACCTTACTGTTAGCATCTTACTGTTAGCATCTTACTGTTAGCATCTTACTGTTAGCATCTTACTGTTAGCACCTTACTGTTAGCATCTTACTGTTAGCATCTTACTGTTAGCATCTTACTGTTAGCATCTTACTGTTAGCACCTTACTGTTAGCATCTTACTGTTAGCATCTTACTGTTAGCATCTTACTGTTAGCATCTTACTGTTAGCACCTTACTGTTAGTGTCTTACTGTAAGCATCTTACTGTTAGCATCTTACTGTTAGCACCTTACTGTTAGCACCTTACTGTTAGCATCTTACTGTTAGCACCTTACTGTTAGCATCTTACTGTAAGCATCTTACTGTTAGCACCTTACTGTAAGCATCTTACTGTTAGCATCTTACTGTAAGCATCTTACTGTTAGCATCTTACTGTAAGCATCTTACTGTTAGCATCTTAGTTAGTCTCCAAAAGTAGATCAGGAGCCAGAGCCTTCAGCTATCAGGCTCCTCTCCTGTGGAATCATCTTCCTGTTACGGTCCGGGAGGCAGACACCGTCTCCACATTTAAGACTAGACTTAAGACTTTCCTCTTTGATAAAGCTTATAGTTAGGGCTGGCTCAGGCTTGCCCTGTACCAGCCCCTAGTTAGGCTGACTTAGGCCTAGTCTGCCGGAGGACCCCCTATAATACACCGGGCTCCCTCTCTCTCCCTCTCTCTCTCTCTCTCTCTCTCTCTCTCTCTCTCTCTCTCTCTCTCACTCTCATCCTATTACTGCATCTTGCTAACTCGGCCATTCTGGATGTCACTAACTCGGCTTCTTCTCCGGAGCCTTTGTGCTCCACTGTCTCTCAGAATAACTCATACCGCAGCGGTGCCTGGACAGTGTGACGTGTGTGGTTGTGCTGCTGCCGTGGTCCTGCCAGATGCCTCCTGCTGCTGCTGCCATCATTAGTCATTAGTCATACTTCTACTGTTATTATACACATATGACTATTGTCACACAAGTATACTGTCTGATATTAATACATACTTTCAACATATTGTACCACAGTAGCCAGAACTATAACTATAATATTATTACTTTCATTAATGTTGTTGTAAGCTACTGTCATTACCTGCATCTCTCTCTCTCTCTCTCTCATCCCAAACAAGGTTAGCCTACTTGTAAGCTAACGTTAGCTACTTGAATGTTTGCTATTAGCCGACAAGCAAACCGTAGCTACATTTCAGCTTCTCTCATATAAGTGGTTAGCTTGTAGGCTAATAGCAAACACTCAAGTACGTTAGCTTACAGGTAGGCTAACCTTGTTTGGGATGGGGACGGTGGTTAGCAAGCTACAGCATATAGCACATAGCACATAGCACATAGCATGGACTGTTTTAACACACTATGAGTGTTTACAACAGCTGATTGTTGAAGTGTGTATAAGTGAGTACAGGTATTCATAATGCATCTTATACAACAGTTAGTTCCAACCGAGTAATCTGATTGGACGAGAGGCATTCCCTGAGTGCTGACATAGAGTATAACATCAATGGGACACGGACACTGGACGAGGAAAAGGAAAGCCAGGGCTCTTGTGTGCAGACCTCCAGGTGTGTTTGAATGCCAACATCCAGGTTTGAACTGGACGAAGTTACACAGCTGCAGATCAATGTAAATACAAAGTAGCTTGTGAGTTCCTGGCGTGTGTGCTGCGTTGCCTGGCAACAGACCAGGGAACTGTTTTTTTTTTTGTTTTTTTTTTCACAGAGCTACATAACATACTTAAATAATTTATTTCAACACCCTTTGTTAACATTTCCTTACTCAGCATTGCTGTTTAAGCTGTTGTTGAACTGTTGTATAAAAGCAACATCACACTGGAGGGAGTGACGTTGGAATATATATCGTCACGGCTGTGATTGTCTTCTGTGACCGAATCACAGCCGTGACGATATACAGTCCAACGTCACTCCCTCTCGTGAGATATTGCTTAATTAAACTCCATCAGTCAGCTTCTAGTTTATAAACATCCATGAGACACTTATAATTCATTATAAGTCACGTCTATAATGTTTAATGACTGTTGATAAAGTGCATCAGGGAGCATCATGTGTGTTTATGAGCGCAGTCATAGCATAAATACAGTTCTTATTTTATCTAACAATGACTAAGAGATGCAAAACAACTACAACAACCGAAATCAAAGAGGTAAACCTGCCAATACTTTTGAAGTGGACAGGGAACCAGTGTCTACACCTGGATATCTGCAGTGGGTCCAGACCTGAGCTCACAGCCTGTGAGGTGTTATTATTGGATGTCTCAGCAGCAGCAGCAGCAGCAGAAGGTGATTTTTAGGTGTCATGTTTTCAAAGACATTAATCAAAACACATCCAAACCACACGTCGTTGTTATGACTCACAGCTCCATGACTTCCATTCATGATGCACCAACAGCAGAGCTCAACAGGTCAGTGTTTTACACCTCACTGTGTTCACACAGCACTGAAGAGTGACGCTATACAAACATCATCAAATCACTGGTGTCCTCGTCTCATCTGTGCAAAGACACAAACCATAAACAGACCATCTGCTGCGGCGGCTGACCGTTCAGCACCAGAGGAGACGTGTTTTTAAAATCCGACCTGTGAGACTCTTCAGATCATTACGATGCCACCTGTTGGAGTGCTGCTGTAAAAACAACATGTTCCGTGCAGCCTGAATGAGACTGAGTAGTATTAATGATTATACATGAAGCAGCTGCTTCTGTGAGCTGTGTCTGAAATAAAGAATAATAATTTCTCTGCACAATAAGACCTGCAGAACATTTGTAACTTCTCCCTCTGCTGACTGTGAGAGGTGATCTGCGCTGAGTCTGGTTAAACACAGGTGTGGTGTTTGTTTCCCTCCGCTGAAGAAGAACAAGTCTGACTACAGGTTTGTCTGCCTTTTATTAAGCTGTTAGCCATGCACTTGTTTCTCTAGTTTCATCTCATCATGCTGCCGTGGAGTCGCTCAGTCAAAGTGATGTGTTTCCACCTGCAGACTGTCGCTGCATACAGAGTGACCCCAACAGTGTTCAACTGTGGGTCTGCTTTTAATGTTTGTTAGATGTGTGCTACAGATATTCAGGGCGTGTGTGTTTCTGGAAATATTCTCATTAACATCAATATTCCAGCGATGAATGTATAAACATGAGCTGTGACGGCTCACACCTCCTCCTACTGCTAAGAGCTTCAAAACCTTCAGAAGAACAACACAAGTACCCCAAACCCGAGTGTATCTAAAATACATTTTAATCTTGCTGAAATTTGTTTTCACAATATTGTTTACAATATTAATGTGTCTTCGTTCTCTTCGTCCCCGCTCAGGTCTTCTTTATCATCTTGAAACACAACTGTACAATCATGTAAATTGTTCTACATCAAGGCACAAGACAACAGCCGTTGTGGGGGGGGCCTTGGGTAGGCTGATCTTTAATGGCGTCCCTCAGGGAACCCTCGGGAGGAGGGGGGAACATGGAGGATGTATGGATCTCAGGAGAAATGTGCTCGCACCAGGTGAAAGGAGAGAAGAAATCAGGTGATAACCACTGCAGCTTTCATTTTATTTTCCAATGATACTCATGTATAAAAAAGAGGAACCATCAGTTCATTTGTTCATGGACAGAAACTAAAGTGCTTTTTTTCTCTTTTTTAACTCTTATTCTGCCAAAAGCAAAAGTTGGACTAACAGGATGGAGACGTGGACGAGAGGTCCGGTGGAGTTTCTTTCCCGTAAGAAGGTGGAGGAGTGGATAAAGGGCCAGTTCACTGTTTTACTTTCTCTGCTTGATTCTGTTTTTGTTGGTTTTTGTTCTCAGGATTTTTTTTCTGATGTTTCTTGTCAGGTTTCAACCTCTAGAAAAAGAAAGAAAGAAAGACAGAGAGAAAGAAAGAAAGAAAGAAAGAAAGAAAGGTGTTAATGTTCATCATTAGTCCTTTTATAGATCTCTGCATGATGAGTCCACAATGCTTTAGTATATTTTCATGTTTTAGAAGATGACATGTATGTAATGATACTCTTCAGGCGCTGCATAATGAAACACTGAGGATGAAGAAAAGGTAGAAATCACAGTCAAAGAACAGACACAGCAGAAACCCTACGTACCGTGTCCCTGAAGGTTTTGAAGTCCTCACATCTGGACACTTCTCCTCCGCCTGCCGAAGGCCTTGGCGCCGACGTTGGTGGGGACGAAGTTGCTGTTGCCCATTCCCCCCGACCGGCTCAGGAAGTCCGCCAGGCGGTGAGTCACGCAGGTTGCCGTGTTGCAGGCTCGCTTCTGTGCTGTAACGCTGCTTCAGGAGAGCAAACGAGGGGTTAAAGCGAGATCAGCTGTGACATTAACACAATACTGACACACAGCCTCACAGTATCTCTGCACACAGATCATTTAGATCAACGTCACAGCACAGAAAAACTACAGGTTGAAATATGCATCAACCATGTGAGGTCTGATGACATATTTATTTTTCTTACCTTCAAGCAGGACGAGAGCTTCACACATCATTTCAAGGATTCTCTAAAGTCCTACACACATGAAGTACCCACTGACTGTTTAACCTTAAGAATGAAAATGAGCTACGGCTTCCTGGTAGAAAAATACGTTTATTGAAGAAGAAACATGGTGTCGCATGAGTGGATCATTTATTAATGGTTTCTACTAAGTGATGTCACTTTATGCTTAAACTTGAGGGGCTTTGAGACGCCATCTGATGACTCCACGCACAGTACACAGAGATGGAAGTCTGAACTGGCTCCTGATGAAAACTAAATCTGATTGTCTGAAATTAAAGGGACAAATCATTCTCTGACAAACGAGGAGGAGGCAGGAGGAAGGAAGTAAGGGTCATATTCTTCTCAATCAAGCAGGTCAAATCAACATGCACTGGCACAAAATCCAAAAACAAGAAGGGATAAGGAGGAGGAAGAGGAGCTGAGGGAGGATGAAGGAGGGGTTAGATGCTGTCAAACGTCTCGCCGTAGCTTGCATAGCTGTCGCTCTCAGGCGCACTGCGCTTCTTGCCGGGTGTTCCTGCTCCCACGTTTGTGCGAGGGAACGTCTGCAACTTGTGCAGCTCCTGAGACAGTTTGCCCAACACGCAGGTGCTGAGGTTGGAGCAGCGCTTGGTTAGAGGCCTGTCCATGCTGTCAGGGGAGGACACACAGAGACACATGCAGAGAACAGGCTCATAGGCATGGCAAGAAAAACATGCAACACTCTTCATGTCCTCTGTCTTATCTTTCATTCTCACAGCGTTCGTCTCTCATGCATCTCAGTCTCATGCCATCACACGTATATAAAACAAAACCCCCTCTCTACAGCATCATGCCCCCCCCCCAACAATTCAAAGAACCTGTCATCCATCCCATCATGCACCACCCCCCCCCCCCCACCCCAGTCAGCCCCCTCCGTCACATCTTTTCCACCCACAGAACAAACAGAAACCAGTCGCTTCCCACTGTCATGCAACGCCACATAATTGACATCATGCACACTCGTTGGTTCTGTTAGGCAAACACTGTTCATGTGTTCACACCGTTCACATGCCCTGCAGGCAGGCAGGCAGGCAGGCAGGCAGCCTGGAAACACTCATCGGCTCAGAAATCAAACTCATCCATGCGGGAGCGGGATCAGGACGGAGAGGAGGGGTTTGTTTGTGTCTTAACGTCTTTTCTCTGATGTTTTTCTCCCATTTGATCAGCTAACAAGCACATACCTCTACGGCTGACTGAACCCGAGCCGGGCGCTAAGAAGACGCATCCTCAGTGGAGTTTAAGTGAAACCAGAGTGTGATACGCTCTCTAAGTATCTGCACAGAGTCCAGCTGCCCCGTTTACTTTGACTTCCTGTTCTTTAAAGGAACCCACTCTGTCAAACAAAGGGTTAAATAAAGAGGAGTGGCGTGTTTGTCGTCTGTGTACCTGTTTCCTTCAGTTGCCTGCTGCTCCAGCTCCTCCGCCGTCATCTGCACAAACTCCTTGACGATGGCGTTGAGTAACCTTCGTGCCTCGTAGTCCGTGAGCGTGACTCGGTCTGACATGGACTCTAAACCCGGTCTGTGGTGAAGAGGAGGGTGAGTGAGGAAGGTTCAGGGGTCAGGGGGGGATTGGGGAGAGGAGGAAGAAGACGTTGAGATGAAGCATTAAATCCTTCACTGGAATGATCACCTGCAGTTAAAGGGAGGGGCGGGGGAGGGGTGGAGGGGTGGAGGGTGGGGTGCTGGCGGAGAGGCTAGATGGATAGGAGGGGTCAGGGGGGTTGACTGGGACGTCACCAACTCAGAGAGGGATGACGTCTGAGTTGGAGGGCCCCCGGCCAACACCGAGAAACAATCTGCGGAAAGTGCCCCATCTGAGAGAAGAGCTGATGTTCAGCCGCCTCAGATTTATGACTAAATCGATAGCTTCATGGTAACAGAGAGTGGAGGGGCTTCATATAAATATATAGATGTCATTTATCTGCTCTCAGTGAATTACACCTTCGCTCCTGTACTGCTTCACTTTTCAATTCTACAGAGAGGAAGAACTAACTTTGGATACTGATGAGGAAATTACATTTATTGAATCTTATTTACTCATAAAACACATTTTAAACCCTGTCAGTCTCAGCTGGAGCCTGAATCTAATCAGCTCACACAAAGTGCTGAAACTCAACATCATAAATTATTAAGATGAACCAGAACAAATAAATGTAAAGTCTCTGTGCATGAATATTGTCACACACTGTCTGTCAGTGAGTCTGCATCTCTGCAAAAACATGAGAAGCACACAAGTTTCATTTTGACAAAATTAAAAATGTACAAAAATGCACAGAAATCACCAGGATGAAATAAATTGAATGTTTGATGCCTAAAATGTTGTGCGAGGACTCCAACCCCCCCCCCCCTCCCCCCACCTTCCACCTCCACCCAAACCTGCACCCTCCATCTCTCCCCGTCACCAACATCTCATGTCTTGATATTTTTCCAGCAGCACTGAAAAACACTGTGAACATTTAGCTTTAAAGAAGTGAAAAATATCTGCAGATTTTTTAGGTGCATTTTTTGCCTCTCCTCTCCTCTCCTCTCCTCTCCTCTCCTCTCCCACCGGTTGCTTGTGATCCTAACAGTTTGTCGTCCTCTCCCAACATGTGTCTGGTAGGCAGCAGGTAAACGACCCATCAGCTGGGAGTGTGTGAGGTGTGTGAGGTGTGTGAGGTGTGTAGACAGTACAGCGTCTCACCTGGCGGGGGCGGCTTGTGAGCAGTACATCTGGCAAATGACCAGGGCGTAGGCAACGAGGAAAGCAGAGATCTTCAACATAACCATGGTCCCCTACACGGCAAGAAAGACAGTGTCCATCAGCTCCATCAGACACTCCTCCATCATCACTGCTCACACTCACGCTCAACAAGTTCACAACACATCTACACACATCAACATACGTGTGAATCACAGGAGCCGAGTCTGATCCTGTTCAAAGTTACAGCCAGAGAATCAGAGCTTCCTGTCACTTCTCAGAGAGGTTGAGCTCAGCTCAGAGTGCCGCTGTTTGTCTCCGGTCTCCTGCTGCACATCCTCGCTTTTACCTCAACACCCTCAAACCTGAGACTCTCCCTCCCCCCTCTACTCCTCTACTGTGCTCCTCCAAAACATCCAGCCCACGGCTCAGGACAGGTAGTTCTCTCATGTCGTACGCTCACTGTGACATGCCTGCAGGCAGGAGTGTGTGTTTGCATGTGTGTGTGTGTGTGTGTGTGTGTGTGAGGGTAGGTGGGGGTCCGACACAGCGCGGTGCATGTAGCACTTGCTGGAAGAGGAGGGGTGAAAAGGGAAGAGAGGGAGGGGGGACTCCGAGCCTGCCAACTCCCTGAGGGAGCAGTGCATTAGTGTAATGAGCTGCCAGCACACACACACACACACACACATACACACACCCGTTCCTCCGTCCATCTCCTCTTCCCCTCTGTCACTCTGTCGTTCACTTCAGTCTCTGTCTCTGGCCTTCAGCTCTCAGACGGACCCTCAGCAGACGGTGCTGCTGATACTGCTGACCCCGGCCGCCACGCTCCAATCCCATTAACCACCACCATCACGTCACCACAGCCGAACACAGTGTCCACATCCCCCTCTGATCCACACACACACACACACACACACACACACACACACACACACAAACACACAGGCGTCTCTTACCTTCAGTGAAAATCACCAGCAACAAAAATAAAATAAATGTATGGATCTCTGTGTGAAACTCGATCAGCTGACTTTCTCCCAACTTGCAGAGCAACTCTTGATTCTGTTGCACGCAGCGCCAACGCAGCAGCCTATATATCCCACCACTTGGATTTGTGCATTGACTGTGTAGGTGTTTAATTATCCGCCAGCAGCCAATGGCGTCACTCTGATGCTACGGCGAGCCAATGGGACGCCTCCCTTCAGCCCTGGCTCACTAATAAGGGATATGGCTTTGCGCTGACGTCATTGCTCAGTCAGTAAGTGCTCCATTCACAAAATCCTTCAGTCATTTGGACCATTTGCTACCCACCCCCATCACCCCCCCCCCCCC